TCCTCCTCCTCCTCCTCCTCCTCCTCCTTCTCTCTCCTTCTCCTCCTCGTCCTCCTCCTCATCTTCCTCCTCCTCCTCCTAACCATCACGAACCAAAAACGAATAAAACCAAAATGCCTTCCCGAATACAACCAGAACGACGTCCTTATGAAAACCCACTCTCAAGTGGACCAGAGGGCCACGATCCTCGTGAGGGGTGTTCCGGCATTGGGCGTCGGTGGGCCGTCGGCAGCGCTCCACATTGGGCCAGGGCCACGATCCATGTGAGAGGTGTTCCGAACTTCAGCGTCGGGCGGCGATCCAAATGTGGCGAGGTCTACGATCCGTGTGAGGGGTGCGCCGATATTGCTCATCGGTGGGCCGTCGGCAGCGCTCCCAGGTGGGCCATGACACGATCCTCGTGAGCGGCGTGCCGGAATTGGACGTCGGTGGGCCTTCGGCAGCGCTCCCACTTGGACCAGGGCCACGATCCTAGTGAAGTGCGCGCCGGAATCGCGCGTCGGAGGGCCAGGCCCACGATCTTCGAGAGGGTTGTGCCGAAATGAAGCGGCTGGCAGTGGCGGGCGGTTGCTCCAAATCCGACGTCGACACGAAGGACAGGTGTAAAACTGTCCGTTTTTTGTTCACTTTCTTATACGAATCCAATATACAGCCTCTACAGCGAATAATGCACGAAGGTAGGCGTTGGCGCGAAAGACACGAAGGCCAGGTTTGAAACTACGGTTTTCGTAATTCCCCTGGTAGGAGTTCTATTAGGCCTGATACAAAAGAAGAGTACACGAAGGTGAGGTTTGTAGCGACACGAAGACCAGGTGCACCCCTACTACTACTACTACTACTACTACTACTACTACTACTTCTACTACTACACAAGTATACTCCTGATACTACTACCACTACTACTACTACTACTACTACTACTACTACTACTACTACTACTACGACCACTACTACTAATAGTACTACTACTACTACTACTACTACTACTACTACTACTACTACCCTACTACTATTACTACTACTACTACTACTACTACTACTACTACTACTACTACTACTACTACTACTACTACTACTACTACTACTACTACTACTACTACTACTACGGGGGCAGACCGGGCCCTGGGTGCGAGCCGCCGCCGCGGCCGCCGCCGCGGTCGCGGCGACGGCGGCGGCTTGGGGCATCAGTCGACCTTTTGGGGGCATCTTGGGGCCTCTTGGTGGCTTCCTGGGGGCCGCCTCTTGGGGCCTCTTGGGGCTCTCTTGGGGCGTCTTGGGCGCCTCTTGGGTCGTCTTGGGGCTCTCTTGGGCCGTCTTGGGCGTCTCTTGGGTCGTCTTGGGGCTCTCTTGGGCCGTCTTGGGGCCCTCTTGGAAGCTTCTCGGGGCCGCCAAACACCGCCTGGGCGAGGAGGGGCAAGGGGAAGGAGGATGCGGTGTTGTTTGCGTTCAGATGTTTGGTTACATTTTGTGGGCGCCGTCTGTGGGCCCAGGGGCCGCTGAAAAAAACGGTCGGGCCCCCGGGGCCGCCAAACGCCGCCTGGGCGAGGAGGGCGAAGGGGAAGGATGATGCGGGGTTGTCATATAAGAAACGTATAGGAAACATAGAAGAAACGTATGCAAACAAACACATTGGATACGTATAGGCGTCATTTAAGAAACGTATAGGAAACGTATACAAAACGTATAGGAAACATATAAGAAACGCATAGGACACATATAAGAAACGTATAGGAAACGTGTACACAACGTATAGGAAACATAAAGGAAACGCATGGGAAACATTAAGGAAGCGTATGCAAAACGTATGGGACACAGATGGGAAACATATAGGAAACGTATACAAAAAGATAGGACACGTATACAAAACATATAGGACCCGAGTGTGCATGTATGTATATATATATATATATATATATATATATATATATATATATATATATATATATATGTATATATATGTATGTATAGATATAAAATGGGACACGTCTACACAACGTATAGGACACGTATAAGAAACATACAGGACACGCTTACACAACATATAGAAAACGCATCCAACACATATAGGAAGCGTACGCAAAACATATAGGAAACGTGTACGAAACAGATAGGAAACGTATACAACACACGTAAGAAACGTATTTGACACATACAAGGAGTGTACAGGATATATATATATATATATAAGAAACCTATAAAGACACGTATTAGAAACGTACAAGAAACGTATGGGACATATATAGGAAACTTATAGGACACATATAGGAAACTGATAGGAATCGTATAAGAAACGTATAGGAAACACATACGACACGTATAGGACACGTATAAGAAACGTGAGAGAAACATAGCAGAAACGTATCGGACACGTATAAGACACGTATGGGAAACATCAAAGAAACGTAAAGGAAACATATAACAAAAACACGTAATGGAAACAAATAAGAAGCACATCGGAAACATAAAAGAAGGGTATATGAAACACTTACGACATGTATAGGACACATAGAAGACACGTATAGGACACGTATAGGAAACACTCCAGAAACGTATGGGAAATATATAAGAAGCGTATAGGAACACAAATAAAAAACGCATAGGAAACACATAGGACACATATAGGAAACACATAGGACACATATAGGAAACGTATAGGAAACACATAAGAAACGTATAAAACACGCGGGAAACATATAGGAAACACAAGGGAAACATATAGGAAACATTTAGGACACGCATCGGAACCATATAGGAAACATATAGGACACGTATAGGAAACATAAAGGAAGCATATAGGAAACATATAGGAAACATCAAGGAAACATATAGGAAACCTATAGGAAACATGTGGGAAGCATATATGAAGCATATAAGAAACGTAGAGGAACATTTATGAAACGTATAGGAAGCACATAAGAAACGTATAGGAAACATATAAGACACATATAGAAAACATATGAGGAACGTATAAGAAACACATAAGAAACGTATAGGAAACACATAAGACACGTATAGGAAACACAAAGGAAACATTTAGGACATGTAGGAAACATATAGGAAACATTTCGGAAACGTATATGGAAATGTAGGACACATATAGGAAACATATGGGAAACGTATAGGAAACATATAGGAAACATAAAAGAAGCACATAGGAAACGTATGGGATACATACAGGAAGCATATCGGAAACGTGTAAGAACCATATAGGAAAACATATAGAAAACATGTAGGAAACATATGAGAAGCGTATACAAAACGTATGGGACACATATGGGAAACGTATACAAAACGTGTAGGAAGCATACAGGAAACGTATACAAAGCGTATAGGACACATATAGGACACATATACAAAACGTATAGGACACATATAGGAAACAAATAGGACACGTATACAAGACGTATAGGAAACATATGGAAAACGTATACAAAACGTATAGGAAATAAACAGGGAACGTATTAAAAAAGTATCGGTGACAAAAAGGGAAACACATAGGGCACGTATGCAAAGCGTATGGGAAACATATAGGGAACGTATAAGACAGCATAGGAAACAAATAGGGAATATATAGGGCACGTATACAAAACGTATAGGAAACGTATACAACACGTATAGGAAACACATAGGACACGTATAGAAAAAGTATCAGAAATATATAGGAAACGTATACAAAACGTATAGGCAGCGCATACGAAACACACCGCACACCGCACACTGCACACCGCACGCGCACCAACACACTGACGGTGCGGAAACCCAACGGAGTGCTGTAGGGAGGGGCCGGGGGAGCGGCTCGCACCCAGAAGCCGGTCACCCCTACTACTACTACTACTACTACTACTACTACTACTACTACTACTACTACTACTACTACTACTACTACTACTACTACTACTACTACTACTACTACTACTACTACTACTACTACTACTACTACTACTACTACTACACTAACACTAACACGAACACTAACACTAACACTAACACTAACACTAACACTAACACTAACACTAACACTACTGCTAACACTACTCTACTACTACTACTACTACTACTACCACTACTACTACTACTACTACTACTGCTACTACTACTACTACTACTACGACGACGACGACGACGACTACTACTACTACTACTACTACTACTACTCCTACTCCTACTCCTACTCCTACTCCTACTCCTACTACTACGACTACTGCTACCTACGGTACTACTGCTACTACTACTGCTGTTACTGCTGCTACTGCTACTACTGCTACTACTACAAGTACTACAACAATTACTATTACTACTACTACGACGACTACTACTACTACTACTACTACTACTACTACTACTACTACTACTACTACTAGTACTACTACTACTACTACGACTACCAACACTACTACCACTACTACTACTACTACTACTACTACTACTACTACTACTACTACTACTACTACTACTACTACTATTACTACTACTACTACTACGACTACTACGATTACTACTACTACTACTACTACTACTACTACTACTACTACTACTACTACTACTACTACTACTACTACTACTACTACTACTACTGCCACTACTACGACTACGACTACGACTACGACTACGACTACGACGACGACGACGACGACGACTACTACTACTACTACAACTACTGCTGTACCTACTCCTACTTCTTGTTCTGCTAATGCTGTTACTGCTACTACAATGACAACTACTTCTACGACTACTGCTGCCACTACCACTGCAGCAGCAGGAAAGAGCCCACCAGTCAAACGCTCCACTCGCGAAGCGTTGCACGGACGGGAGGGAGCGTGAAGAGATGAGGGTGGGAGGAGGGATAAGGCAAGGTGAGCTCTTGCACATCACGGGACACCCGATGGAGGAACGCGCTCGACCTGATGCGCCCAAGACGCCGACAGGGCGTCTTCAGTTCGGAGAACATCCGCCGCCTTGCAAAACAATGGTTCGAATTCGCGTCGGAATGGGAAGGAGGTAGCTACGATTACTAGCCACAAACGCAGGAATACCATGGTTCTCATGGACAGCTCACGTTGCCAGCGTGCTGGCTGGCAAACGCGCCATTCCGCGACGGCGAAAAAGTCAGCCGTATCAGGAGCTCCAGTCGGTGCAGTCAGTACTCAACAGCAATACGTGAGAACAGTTCTGCATCTGTCTCTGCTCGCCTTGTCTGGCAATACAGAGCCTGGAGTCCGCCCCGTCGGACTCCTAGTCTATCGCGAAGCCTCTGCTCAGCGCGCTCTGCTCGGCAAATATCCACGAGGTCTGCGCGACTGGCACCCTGTCTACATCGAGGATATCGCTCGCGGGCCGCCGCGGGGACGGGTCGCCCGAGATCAACCGCTGTGCGGCGGGCCGCCACTGCAGCGCGTCGTCGTAGAGGTCCAGGCCCCTGGGGCCTGTAGCCCTGATGAGCTCCCCGATCGGCATCGTGGAGAGCTCACTCTCGCTGAGCAGGTGGCTCTTGTTGCGCCAGACCTCCACTTCGTTGCGGTGCACCATGGCCAACAGCTCGAGGGAATGCGTGGCCTGGTCGCTGACCCTGAGGTCCGCGGCGCCATGACCGGCGGCCGCCATCCACGCATGTTCCATGTCCTTGGTGAAGTGGTAGACCAAGTCGGGTGGCGTGTTTGCCATCATGTAGCGGGTAAACTCGTAAACCGACACCGTGCCAGAATTGTCCGCGTCCATGCAACTGAACATCGCATTCACGTGTTCGGCCGGCAAGTGCAGGTAGCCGAATTTCTTCTGAACCGTGTCTACGAACACCTCTCGAGTGACTTCGCCTTTGCCCAACTGTAGTGCCTTAGCGGCCTTCTTCGCGTCAAGGTGGCTTGCCAGACTTGGCAGGAGAGCCTGCAACATTGCTTTGCTGCTCCACGAGCCGCTTGAGCCGTTCTTCGTCAGCAACGGCATGGGGCTGTCAACAATTGGCGACGACCGCGATGTCTGTGAAAAATCTGCAGAACGTGGGGGTGACGACGAAGAAGAAGAAGAACGGCTTCCAAGCGTGTCTCGACGATTCAACACCAATTTTTTGTGCACTTCCGGATGCAGTTCAGACTGATCGCGGTAAGACTTGGGGCCGTCCATGGCGAGCGCGGCGCGCGTCAGCTTCAGCAGGCTCAGCCGGAAGCGGCTGCTTTGCAGCACGTGCGTCTCCAGCAGGCCCGACTCTGCATCTTTGAGGAGTTGCAGGACGGTGGCGTTGTGGTCCCAGGCTCTGAAGCCCCCGCCCATGATCATACGCTGCCGCCTCCTCCTGTGGAGGCTTACCTGCCTCCCGAAGAAGACGTGTATCATAGTGGTCGTGGCCTGGCGCAGCGTGTTCATATCGTGATCTCCGATTGTTTGGAGCCTGGCAACGAGGTCCTTATCCTCGAGCATCAGCATGGCAGCAGACACGTCCCGCAAATTCCACACGGTCTGTGCCAAACGCCCCTGGGTCATGTCGGACGCGCAGCACGCTGTCCATAACCACCACATAAAGTTGCAACTGGCGAATACAAAGGCCCAACCAAAACAAATGATGATGACCCAAGAGTACACTATCCCCGCCTCGCTCATGTCCTGTTCGTCCGCCGTAGAATTGTCCACCCATGCGGTGGCCATTATCAGACCCACGACCAGAGACAGCTTGAAGGTTAGATCTACCCAATTGTTGTCGTCGAATTTGAACGGCCAGACGCGGAACTGCAGAATCGAAACGAAAATCAGCTTCAGGAGGAGAAAGTAAACCTGTGAGGATACATCCTTTGCGGGAAAGACTACCTGCGTCAAATTAATCAGGATGCCGTACGTGAGCTGCACAATGATCCACCAAAAACGGTCTGGCCTTACAGAGCCGAAACAGAACCGGTACCTCGCCCCGAAGCCTGGGACCGTCATGGACCTACGCGGCGCTGTCCAGACAATCCAGCACACGTAACTAAAGATCGTTACGCCGAAAAACAAAGTCGTCAGGACGTTCAGAGGCAATACCGACCACCAATCGGCCACTCCAAACTCAAGCTCCGGGAATGCCTGTACCATTATCTTGGCATTCGGCATAGTCTTTCGGTAGAACAATGACAGGGTTAGTCCAGTGACGGATATGTTCATTTTCGTGAAAATGAGCCCAATGACGTTGTGAACGAAATTGAACTTCAAGCCATTTGAGAAGATCAGCCACAGGCCATGCAGCAACAAGAAATCCAAGAACACCACGAGCGGTGACAAGGCTTGCGTCGCGATATCCCAGAAGACACTGTTCCCGGTCCAACACTCCATGTTGAACTGGAACAATTGCCCAATGCCAGGCAGCGTGAACATGCTGATGCGCTCGAAGAAAACTACAAGCGCAGTGGGCCAATCAATGTCGAGGCGGCTGAGCGCCTGCAACGTCTGCAAGAAGGTAACCGCTGCGCCGACTGTGATGGCGCCGGACGGGTTGGGAACGTTGAAACGCTTGTACATGTAAAGTATAGTGAGGGCCTGAATGATGAATGCGGCCGCAGCCTTAAAGTAGACGCTGTTGTCGTCCTCGCACTTCTCGCACTTTGTAGACCCGTTCAGGTACATCCCGTCGGGACATCGGGCGCAGCGTGGCGTGGTGATGTCGAACCCCGCACTGCACATCTCTGCGGACGCGACCTGGCGATCTCCGGAGCACCGGGACCTGTCTACACATTCGTAGACGCTGAAGGGATCGCCCGCGAGGGTCATGTAACCCTCCAGCACGCTCACGCTGGTGTCGAGCTGCGCACTGGTCTGCGGATAGCCACCGGGGCACCTGAGATACTCGCCGCAGTCAGTCGTCACACACCGCTGGGCCACGGGGTCGAAGCGCCAGCCCACATCGCAGATGCACACGCTCAGGTTGGCGCTGCCCGGCGGGGCCGCGACGAAGCTGTCCGGGCACGGGGAGCAGGCGGCGGAGCCTGGCACGGCGGTGAAGAAGCCGACCTGGCACTGGGCGCACTCCACCGCGGCGGGCTCCCCCGCGAAGCGACCCAGCGGGCACGTCTCGCACTGCGTCGCGCCGCTGGCGCTCTGGTGCGTGCCGCGCTCGCACGGCAGGCACTCGCTCTGGCCGCTGGCGTCCGCAAACCTGCCGGGGGCGCACGCCTCGCAGCCGCTGGGGCTGATCATGCCCGACCGGGAGGAGGAGGTGCCGGGTGCGCACCTGCGCGCGAAGCAGCTCTGGGAGGGCTTGAAGCACCCAGGGGCGGGTGCCGGCCAGGGGTAGCTCTCGTCCCCGACGCAGCCGGCGTCGTGGAAGCGCTGGCTCCCGCACTCTGCGCAGGCCCTGAGGAAGCCCGCGTCGTACTCGTCGCGGAGGCCCTGCACGAAGGCGGCCGATGCCTTGTGGTCGCGGGGTGCCAGAGAGTGGTCGTTTCGAGAAAACAGCAAAATACAATTTCAATAGGTGGAAGATAGGCTTCTGATGGGTTTTGTAAAATAGGTTTTGAATATATTTGGAATAGGAACTTTCAGTTGGTTCTGGTTTCTCGGGGTTGTAAAATAGGGGGCCCTTCTCGGCTCAGAAAGCCCAAGTGTCGGGCCATTGCATTCGAATTGGGGTTTGCCGACGTGCAGCAGTGTGTGAGCTTCGGGGACAATGCAATGATGTAGCTGTTTATGCCCCCCTCATTCCTTCGTTCGGTAATGTTTATTCGGGGACGTCGTGGCGCGAAACCCATTGTAATTTGGACAGCATTGTTTGAAAAGCGATTCCCTGACCCCCCCCCCGCCCATCATTACAACAATCAATGGTTTGGGGTTCTCAGAGGCCCACAACTGCCTCTTGGTTCTCGTCCACAGGCCCCTTGGTGCCCATGAGCCCGATGGCCTTCATCTGTCCCTCATTCGCCCTTCGTCAGCTTTGGAAGGTCCCCGTTGGGGAATGGCGGAGTTGCTCTCCGAGTCTATCCGACTGCGGTGGGGGCTGCGAGCGTCTGTGACTAAAGATTTGGCGGAAGTATGTTTGTACCCCTATGTGGTGCAATCAATGTTCTGCAATTTTTGTGGCGCAACCTAGATGGTGCAATCTAGAGGGAGCCGTCTAGGGGGAGCCGTCTAGTGGGGGCCGTCTAGGGGGGCCGTCTAGGGGGAGCCGTCTAGGGGGGGCCGTCTAGGGGGAGCCGTCTAGGGGGAGCCGTATAGGGAGATTGCGTGCATGTGGACGTCTCAAAAGGCTTAAGGAGTCATCTTGGGGGAGCCGTCTAGGTGGAGCCGTCTAGGGTGACGCCGTCTAGGGTGGAGCCGTCTTGGGGGAGTCATCTTGGGGAACTAGCAACACTTGTGCCGTGCACGTGGACGTCTCAATTGAACATTCTTGCCCTGAGTCTTGACAGATGGCTTCATTTGCCACATCTGCACCATATGTTTACTTTGATCGGATGCACTATCTGTTTACTTTAGTCCTCCTCCTCCTCCCCATCCATCGCCGCTTTGGCTCAAAACTTTAGCTAGGCCACCCTCCTCCTCGCCCGTCATGACGCATTTGGTGGAATGCAATCGCTTGACGAGCTGATTGGTGAGATTTGATCTGAAGGGGTCGGTGCAAGCAGCTTGGATGTTGATGTTGCCAATTGCGTATCTGGAGCTGCCGCTGGCAGCCTAGACGCTGCGCTGTCTGCTGCGCTGGGGGACTCGGAGGCTCGCGGGGCGGATGTCGAGCCTCACGAGGCCGATCCTCCTCCTCCTCCTCCTCCTCCTCCTCCTCCTCCTCCTCCCATCTCCTCCTCCTCCTCCCCCTCCTTGGGTATGGCCTTGAGAAGATGGGGTCTGTTTAAACTTCTGGTCTGGACACAGTTGCTGGTGCCATTGATGACGATCTCTGTTGCCTCATCGGCAAGCATATGAATGCCAAAGCTTCGAGAGCGCTGAGTTGTCTTGCAGATGATCTGCCAATGCACCATGATGTCGTGATGACTCGCGTTTTGTTTCATGCTCATGCGTGTATCACATTGCTCGGCAGCGTGTCATTCATACCAGCAAGACCATTGCCGCAGCTACGAATGCCTCTGGTGGCAAATGCTTGCGTTTGTCGTTTCACGCGTCCATGGACGAGACGCCGATGTACCACCGAATGACGCATGAGACGGCAATCGACGATCCCGTCATCAGAGCAGCCATTGATAATCAAGAGAACACCAACAAACACGTCGTGGATACCATTATTGAGGACGACGTTGAGCCAAACGGAAAGATCGTGGCATATGACCTGAAACTTGGCGCTGTCTTTGAACTGCCGATGTCTGCCTGCCCTGGCGATGGGCAAGGTGCGCGTCGCTTTCTTCACGTCCAAGCTGCGGCGCCAGCGACACCGAGCAGCGTAGACAAGACCACTGGAGAGGTCCAGGCGTGTCTTGCCCATCTCCACGCCTGGCCTCGATGAGTTGAAAGCCCTGTCGAGCATATGCAGTCGGGCCGCTGAAAGAAGGAACGCTACATAAGGAACGAAGCCCCTTCTCGGCCTGTAAGCGCCTCCGCGCCCCAGGAGGGCAGGAGGAACAGCACTGGAGGAACCTCAGGAACATCGAGCCCCCTCCGAAACCAAACTGTTCCTTACTTCAGCGTCTTGACTGTACGACCGCACGTGCATGTCCGACGGCGATGCCGCCACTGCACGAGCGGAGCGGTCACTCGGCCCCGTGATGGGGGGCTCTCGCAGGTCATGCAGGCTGCACATGGTCCAGGGAGTGCAGGGAAAAAGTGCTGGGACAATATTCGACGGCGTTCTGGTCTCACAATACCATTTGGCAAAGGTGCTTGAGGTTCCTGGGGGCAAGAATGATTTCAAACTAATACTGCGTCGGATCATCTCGGAACGCTTCCGTTTGAAATACGGCGTGGCATCTCTTGACGCACACATTCATCGCAAGGCTGTGGCAGACGTGTGCGTGCATGGTGGATCTCAAAGTTGCAAATGGGGACTGGAGGAGACCAGATGTGTTCGAGGTGTGCACGTCGGTTTTGAATTCTTCTGAGGCCGAGCTGCGCGTCTGGGCAATCAGGCACTTCGTCAACGCAGCGATACAGCTTGGCGTCTTTGCCTTTCCGCGGTCTCGGTGGACGAAGGCCCGAGAATCAATCAGAGTGATGGGCTTCTTGATACACGTGCATGGGCTACAGTCGGGGCGTTGACCTAAGGAACCCTAAATAAGGAACGAGGCCCCTTTTTTCCATAAGTGAACCTTCGATTTCCTGCCGAAAACATAAGGAAAGCCTGAGGCAAGCCGTGAAACACTTAAGGAACGCGGAGCCCCTCCCCAACCAAAAGGGTTCCTTCTTCAGGGCCCCGACTGTATGGCAGGGAGACTTCGCGGCTTGCGCTCAGGGACGCGTGGCGCCCGAAGCCCCTCCTCGTGCCGACGACCGCCGCGCTGTCTTGGATGTTCTTGGGCGCTTGGCGGATGCTGCAGATGGCTCGGCGGGCGAGTCCAACAAGGTTTCAGAAGGGCCGAAGCGGGCGCCAACGCGACCACCAAATAAGTTGTTTTGGTGGTGGGCAGCGGCGGAGGGGGGGCACCCAAAGAGGTGCCGAAATGCATATGTTTAGGAACACGCTTGCCCCCCCCCCCTTCCACTTTAAACCGGCCACGGGGCATCGAGGGGGGCCAGCTGCGAACCCTACCCCATACCCCCCACGGTTTTTCTGAAGGGGGAGGGTGGGGCTCGCTCTGCTCGGGAGCTCCCGAGCGAAGCGAACCCCGCCCTCCCCCGCAGAGATCGTGGGGGGTAGGGGTCGGCTTCGCAGTGCAGCGGGAAGACGAGGAGGACGAGGAGGAGGAGGAGGAGGAGGAGGAGGCGGACAAGGAGGACGAGGAGGACGAGGAGGAGGAGGAGGAGGAGGAGGAGGAGGAGCAGGTGGTGGTGGAGGAGGAGGAGGAGGAGGAGGAGGTGGAGGAGGAGGAGGAGGAGGAGCTGCACGGGGCATCGAGGGGGGCCCCGAGCAGGGCGGAAAAGAAAGCTGGCGGCTGCGTTGGCGTACCGCCCGTGTCCATCCGTCGAGGAGGCCAGCGCGCCGACGCCGCTGCGTCCGATCGCGAGGCTCTCGCACGTCACTTGAAAGAGGGTCTGAGAGCATTGAAGGGGCCCACAAACACACAAATAAATACACACAAGCAACAGGATTCGCCATCTTTTCCCATATTTTGTCTTGGTGTTTGTCTTCCCCCCACTTCCCATATTTCCCATAGTTTCTGGGGAATCGATGATTGATTGTGTCTGTGCGTTTTTGTTCCCCTCCTGAAGCATGCGGGTACACGGCATTCCCACAGAAGCTGTTTCTCCCATCGGTGTTGGTCGATCCCCAGCAAACGCATATGTGTCGCATCCTGGACAAGACGAGTGCGGATGCTCAGGAGACACAGTACGTCAGGGCTTGCACAGCCCCCTCCAGTCCCAGTGCCGCTGATATCTTCGTATCGCCGCACCTTCAGTCGATGGTGAACGGCGAGCTCGAGGATGCGTTTTTGAAGGGCGTGAGCCACTTGTTGTCGAGCAAGGGCGTGGATCAATGGTCAGCACTCCCACCTGGATCCATCACGCGTGGGGCGAACCTACCAGCTTTCAATGTGATTGCGGTCAGCGGTGCAGTTGTAGTGGAAGATATACTTTCGATGATATCAACCCACCCTGTGCGAACTTATTGGCTTGCTTTTGAACGCATCCTGAAAGGGGACCGTACCTACATGGGCAAAGAATTGGAGGCCCCGACGAGATGCATGCCGGATTCCTGGACGACTGGGCTGCTCGAGGCGCACGGCGATGGCATCGAGGGCGAAGCAGCGCTGGTCGGTGCGTTGTCACGGGGCCGAGGCCGAGACTGACGACTCAAGGCGCGAGAATACACCCTGCGAAATGCTTAAGAAATCATGGGTTAAGAAATTCATAGTCTCAGAACGTGAATAAAAACCCAGAATTTCTATACAAATCTTAGGATTTCCATTGAAAAATTAAGAATAATCGAGACTCTGGCCGAAAATTTAAGTTTTCTTAAGCATCGCCTAAGGTGTAGGCACGCCTGGGTCCGGAGATGCATCGTTCGCGGCACAGGGCAGACGCGCCCCGCCGCACGCAGAGCTCGCCGGCAGCCGACACGCTCTCGGCAGAGCACGACGGCGGCAAGAGGTCCCTGATGTCCTCCTCCTCCTCCTCCTCCTCCTCCTCCTCCTCCTCCTCCTCCTCCTCCTCCCCCACGACGCCGGGCTTTTCCTCTCGCTCACGGCGCCAAGGAGAAGCCCGGCGCCGCTGCCGGCTCGCGCGCGCATGCCCGACGACGGGCCTGGAACAGGCGATCTCGTTCACAGGAGAAGTGGCGGCTCTTGCCGCGCGTACCTCAGCGAGCAGATCGC